GCTGAAGACCTGCCCAGTTGATTTGAAATGGCTTTTTCATCATCATTCTGCTGTTGGTTGCATCAGAGAGGCAGTTGCTGAGTGAACTTTCTCATTCAGCATTTGCAGCCCAAAGAGGAGGATCATTCCAGCTTGTTTTGTCTGAATGGATGAGTTGTTCATCTCCTTTAACTTCTCTGGTGGTGTTTGGAGATGGATAGTCATTATAGCTGGATATCCCTACTGGAAGAATGTACTGGAAGACTCTTATTGTTGCATATCCCTTTTCAATAGAAGGTAGTTAAGGACATTTCTGGAATGTTTATGCCCCATGAGTGGGAATTTGACCTGTGTTCTCCTGAAGTTGTTACTCTGTAGAGTAAGCAATACATAGTTAAGCTCATTCAGCATTTTCAGCCCAAAGAGGAGGATTATTCCAGCTTGTTTTGCCTGAATGGATGAGTTGTTCATCTCCTCACATTCTCTTAGCTTCTGTGGTGGTATTTGGAGGTGGAATGTCATTACAGTTGGATATGCCTTCTGGATGGCTCTTACTGTTACATAGCCCTTTTCAACAGAAGGGTAGTTAAGGAGCTTACTGGAATGGTTATGCCTCATTAATGGGAATTTAACCTCCTTATTTGAAGTCTTCTCCAAACATGACAAGGTATGACTTGCAGGGTCACTCCAACAAGCTTCCCTGCTCCTCTTCCATCATATTCTTGTGTATTGGTTGAGGATCCTAAGGGGATCATACCAGCAGGCCAATTTCAGCCTCCTCAGGTCCAGGGCTTAGTGTTTTGTAGCATGTTGAAGGGTTGGAATGGAGCTTAGAGATCACCCAGTGCCAACCCCCTGCCCTGGGCAGGGTCACCTCTCACCAGAACAGGTTGCTCAAGGCTTTAGCCAACCTGGCTTTGAACACTGCCAGAGTTGGGGCAGCCACAGCCTCCCTGGGCAACCTGTGCCAGTGTCTCACCACCCTCACAGGGAAAACTTCTTCCTAAGGTCTAATCTAACTTTTTGTCTTTCAATTTCTCCCCATCACACCTTGTCCTGTCACTGCAGTTCCTAACAAACAGCTCTCTGTGTTCATGGAATATTTGCACAAGGTATTGATTTCAGTGTTTAGACCTCTAATGTGCAGAGCTTCATGTCTGAAGGCTCTGGAGAGCACAGGTGGCACGTGAGGAAGTTTAGAACTTGGCTGGCAATTCATTGGAAGCAGCAAAGAACTCCTTGGAGTTAATAAGATGTAGATGTTATTCCAAGTCCTGCTGAGGTGGTTGAAGCAGAGAGGCTCTCATGGCTTCCCATGTACATGATAGAGACTAGGAATGAGTGGTGCAATGGATAAACAGAGTAGATCACTCCTTCTGATGAAGGTACTCATAAGAGGTGGATAAAACATCATGAAAACCACAGAGCTAAAGCAATAGTGAAGCTTCTTGTGCCTCGGTTTTGTGACCAGTAGGTATTTCTGCACGTGAGTCCAACCCTGGCAGTGTTCAAAGCCAGGTTGAAGAAAGCCGTGAGCAACCTGGTCTGGTGGGAGGTGTCCCTGCTTAGGGCAGGGTGTTGGCACTGGATGATCTCTAAACTCCATTCCAATCCCTAAAATTCTGATTCCGTGAATGTGTTGAGGGTGAGGTCAGTTGGTGTTCATGACTACCCCAGTGGTACCTCAAGCATCTTGGAGCTAAGGGAGACCTTAGTAAACAGCAATAGTGAGAGCCTTGTTTGGCTTCACTGTAAGTATTGTCTCTAACCACCAACTCTGTTGTGGTTTTGATGTCTGTACTGGAAGAGTTTTCCCCTTCTCAGCCCCACTGGAGTGCGATCATCTTGATGTGGGCAGCATGTGAGTTGTATAACCCTTCAAGCAGTGCTTACAACCAGGTATTCCAGGGCAGGTTCTGGGAGCCTTTTCTTGCCTTGTGGCCCAGATTGCATTGTTACATGGCAAGTGCTGCTCTCTGATTTGATTCTCCCACACCTTTACTGAATTCAGAGTACATGAGGCATCAAAAGGGCAGTTTGCACCTAGGAACAAGCAAATGCCTCTTTGCTTTCTCTTTTTTTTTGTTTGTTTGTTTGGGGTTTTGTTTGGTTTTGGTCTTTTTTTGTTTGGTTTTCGTTTTGTTTTCCTGGACCAACATATGTATAAAACGTGGCTTTAATGAGGTACCAAACTGGTTTAAAGAAAGGCCAAGGTGCACAATTTGCATGGAGCTACTCAGAATAGTCCAGCTAAAATCACTGTTGCCTTTCATGTTCATGGCAAAGTGATTCTCAGAGGATTTAGCCCATGCAGGCAGGAAGTGTGAGTCTAATTGCAAGAGGAAGTGTGACTAATTGGTTAAGAGAACAACTTCAAGTACCTCTGTAACAAGTTTTTCCCTGCTGGGAGAAGGAGCTTCACTGAGGCCTTTGCAGCATTAAGTGAGTGGTGTAGGTGAGGCTGAGAGTTGCTGAGGAGTCTCTTCATGTGGTGTCAGCCTGGGGAATAAGATTGCAGGACTGAGCCTACAAAAAGGTTCTCTCTGACCCAAACCTTTTGTGGGTTTGGGGTTTTTATTTCCTCTCTGAGCTCTCTCGTGGCTTTGGTAACTCATCACAGTGAGAGAACTTCTCCAGAGAAAGGGAATGATGAAGATGAGAATGTATTGGCTCATGGTTGTGTCTGGCAATCTCCAGCACTGGAGAAGGAGCTCTACAGAGGCCTTTGTAACAGCAAGTGAGAGGAGTTGTAAGTGAGGCTGAGAGTTGCTGGAGAGTCTGTTCATGTGTCATCCTAGGGAATAAGGCATTGCACGACTGAGGGTACAAAAAGGTTCTCTCTGACCCAAACCTGTTGTGGGTTTGGGGTTTTTATTTCCTCTCTAACCTGTCTCGTGACTTCCGTAATTCATCACAGTGAGGGAACTTCTTCAGAGAAAGGGAATGATGAAGATGAGCAAGTATTGGCTCATGGTTGTGTCTGGCAGTCTCCAGTGCTGGACAGCAGGAGTGGTGTTAATTCTGTCTTTGAACCATAGGAGACAAACTGTGTTCTGAAATGGGATTAATTGTCCAGCCTGTTGTCAGAGCTGTGGAAGAAGTACCCCCAAAAAAGTCTTAAGAAGCTGCTACTTCCACTGGTTGAAGTGGTTAGCTTATCCCCTGGTTGTTTCCTTAAGATGGACACTGACATACTCCTGTGGTGCCACAGACTGACAACTTGCCTTCCTGCAGCTGGAGAAGGGCTTTATTCCTGCTTCTGCCTTGAAGGGGTTTGTGGTGAGCATTAGGTTGGGAAGGAAGCACAGTGGATATGGGTCAGATGGGAACAACTTTTCAAGTGCTAGAGATGATCTCTTCAGGAGCATTCTTTGACCACCATACTGTTGTATTTTCAGGAATGGCTCCCAGTAGCTCTCCCCTGAGGAAAGGCTGAGAGAGTTGGGATTGTTCATCCTGGAGGAGAGAAGCTTTGGGGTGACCTCATTGTGACTTTCCAGTGCTTGAGGGGAGTCTACAAGAGAGATGGAGAGAGACTACTGGCAAGGGCCTGGAGTGACTGGACAAATGGGAATGGCTTCACACTGATGGAACCAGACCAGTTGAGCTTTAAGTTCCCTTCAACCCAAAGCAGTCTGTGATTCTGTGATTGTGGTATAACTGAACAGGAAGTGAAAACCAATTCTTTTGTGTGAGGAAGTCTCAGAATGAGTCTCTGAGCAGAGATCCAGTGCCTGACGTGTCAGAGTTCCTCAGTTGTGGTGCTGCTGGATGTACTCACCTGCTAAACCTGCTGCCCTAGTTGAGCTTTAAGTTCCCTTCAACCCAAAGCAGTCTGTGATTCTGTGATTGTGGTATAACTGAACAGGAAGTGAAAACCAATTCTTTTGTGTGAGGAAGTCTCAGAATGAGTCTCTGAGCAGAGATCCAGTGCCTGACGTGTCAGAGTTCCTCAGTTGTGGTGCTGCTGGATGTACTCACCTGCTAAACCTGCTGCCCTAAGCCTACTCTGAGGCTGCAGCTTTACCCTCAGAAAGGTTTATTCTCCATAATACTTCATTGAGAGAACCAGGAGCAGCTCCTGCCAGTGTTTGTAGTGTCTCCATGCCCAGCTTTGCCCCGTGGAGCTCTGGCGTAGGCACTAGAGAAGATTAGAGAATCATCAAGGTTGGAGGAGACCTCTGAAGATCGTCGAGTCCATCCATTAACCATTATTTTAATAGTCCAGCCATGATAACCGTATAACTATCTAACATCTGTTTTAAAATGGTGATGGTCATAGATGGGAAGTACAAGTTTCTTGGGGAGAAAATGCTTGAACTACTTCCCTGTCTTTACTCTTCTGGACTAAAAGTGAGCAGGGCTTGATTGTACCTTGTCGAATGTTATTTGCTAGTTATGAAAATGATCTGCTTGGAATTCAGACCTTTGGGAATGGAGGACTTTAAATTCTGCTTCAATGTGACTTGTTCTTAGGCTCTCAGGGTAAAGGCTGTGTCTCTGGGGAGTAAATTTCTCTGGCTAGAGGGGCAAAACTGCCTTAATTTGCTTTGGGATTGACTATCACTGCCAAAGTGATTTTTTTTTTTCCCCTCTGTTCTGGTCCCAGCCTTTGTTGTCCTGGCCAGGTGTGCTGAGCTTCCTCTGTAAGACATGTCTTGTATGGCATGAGTGAGCTCTGAGCAGAGAAGGATGTGTTCTCCTTCCCTGCATGGTTGTCTTCAGCTTGGCAAACACCACTGGTTTGTTGTGATCCTGGGATTTGCTCAGTCCTGAAGCACAGATCCCAGGAAAGCCAGCATCGAAGCTCCCAAGAAGTGGGTGTGACAACTCCTGAGGCCGTCTGAGCCAAACCATCTTCAGGCTAGAAAGCTGCTTAAGAAGGTCATTATACAAGTGCTGCAGGGAAAGGTCTTTTGTGTAATTTAGAAGCAACTGAAATGGTAAGGAGAAATAATTATCAACATTTTCTTTAATAATGGCAGGAAGTGACTTTTTTCATGTGTGCAGAGGAGAGATTTGCTAACTGAAAAGCACTGTGGCTGCTCTTAGCCTCTGTTGTAAGGGGAAGCAGGTAAAAATCACATTTTAGTTAGAGCTGGCAGTGAGCACTCACAGCCAGAAACCAACCCAGTCCTGGGCTGCAGCCAAAGGAGTGTGGCAGCAGTTCAGGGAGGGGATTCTCCCCCTCTGCTCTGATGAGGCCTCACCTGGAGCACTGCACACAGTTCTGGTGAACCCAACATAAGAACATGGAACTGCTGGAGCAAGTCCAGAGGAGGCCACAAAGCTGATCAGAGGACTGGACCTTCCCTACAAGGACAGGCTGAGAGAGTTGGGGCTGTTCAGCCTGGAGAAGAGAAGGTTGTGTGGAGACCTCAGAGCACCTGCCAGGTTCTGAAGGGGCTCCAGGGAAACTGCAGAGGGACTCTGTGTTAGGAACTGCAGTTCCTACTTCCAACAAGGGAAAATGGGGAGAAATTGAAAGAGGGAAATTCAGATGAGATACAAGGAAGAAGTTTTCCCTGTGAGGGTGGTGAGACACTGGCACAGGTTGCCCAGGGAGGCTGTGGCTGCCCCAGCCCTGGCAGTGTTCAAAGCCAGGTTGGCTAAAGCCTTGAGCAACCTGTTCTGGTGGGAGGTGTCCCTGCCCAGGGCAGGGGGTTGGGGCAGGATAATTTCTAAGCTCCATTTCAACCCTTTTACATACTCTGATTCTATGATATGCTGTATATGTTACAGATTTTTATAGAAATCCTCTGGTGTTGTTTTTGTCACCAGAACCTTTTGTATTTCTCCAGTTTATTACAACTCCACATTGAGTTTTGGTAAGAGTTTGCTTACTGGTGTGGCAAGCACAGGTTGTTCTAAACCATGTAATGTATTTTCTGGGAAATGAACTAATTTCTCATCTTTATCACTTTTGCTTGAAAATATAAGCTACAAGAACTTTAAAACTGTTCCTGTACTTGAAGCTTTTAAGCTGATTTAAAGTCAGGAATAAAAGCATCGTTTGGTTATATGCTCTCAAAGCAAGTGTTTACCTCAGGGTTGTAACTCAAATCCTTCATTGAACAGTTATTGGGCCTATTTTAATGAAACCTTACACTTTTTGGGGGAAAACCTTCCAGAGGGATGTTTTGTAATAGAAGGAAACATCAGTCTTGGGTACAGTGATATTAGCTAACATCAGAAGCTTTTGACTTAAACTGCTGTCAAATATAAGTCCTCTAGTGGTGCTTAAAAATCAGAGCATGTTCAAGGCATCTGCTGCTTTATGTGTGACATTCCCAGCCCAAGCAATGCAGAAGGATGGAACCATCTTTGCCATGCCCCTCAGGGTGTCTGTGGTGTTTGTTTTTGAGATATGGGGAAAATCATTGCTGGACATGGATGAGTGGAGAGAACAACATCATGGAATGGGTTGGATTGAAGGGAACTTAAATGTCAACTAGTTCCACCCCCTGCCATGGGCTGGGACATCTGTCACAGGTTGCTCTAAGCCCCATCCAGCCTGGCCTGGAACACTTCCATGGATGGAGCTTCCTTGGCCTGTGCCTGTGTCTCAGCGCCCTCACAGGGAAGAATTTCTTCCCGGTATCCCATCTACACCTTCTCTCTGTCAGTGTGAAGCCATTGTCCCGTGTCCTGTCACTCCAGTCTCTTGTCAATAGTCTGTCTTTCTTTTGGGCTCCTTCAGCTACTGGAAGGCCTCAGTGAGGTCACCCCAAAGCTTCTCTTCTCCAGGCTGAATGATCCCAACTCTCTCAGCCTTTCCTTATGGCAGAGTTTCTCCATCCCTCTAAGATGCATTAAAGTAACTAGAAAACCAGCCTCCTGGGGACTGGTCAGTAATGAATTCCCTGTTCCTTCCTAGTTGTATACAGTGACCTCATCACTGTATACAACTTCCTCAGGAGGGGCTGTGCAGAGGCAGCACCATCTCTGCTCTCTGGTGATCAGTGACAGGACCCAGGGAATGGCTGGAGCTGTGTCAGGGGAGGGTTAGGTTGGATATTTGGGAAAGGTTCTTCCCCTGGAGCATGTTTGGGCACTGGAACAGCTCCCCAGGGCAGTGGTCACAGCCCCAAGCCTGACAGCTCGATAAGTGTTTGAGCAATGCTCTCAGGCACATGTGGGATTGTTGGGTTGTCCTGTGCAGGATTTGGAGTTGGACTGATGATCCTCAAGGGTCCCTTCCACCTCAAGATACCTATGACTCCACTGATGTGCCTTTAGCTCTGTTGTGAGGTGATGTGCAGGAGCTGTCAGTGATGCTAAGAAATGATCCTGATGGTGTTTTGACTTTTTTTTCCCCTCTGTTTAGGGAGTGACAATTCCCAGCCAGAGACGCTACGTGTACTACTATAGCTACCTGTTAAAGAACCACCTGGATTACAGACCAGTGGCACTGCTCTTTCACAAGATGATGTTTGAAACAATTCCCATGTTCAGCAGCGGAACTTGCAGTAAGTACCCAACACCTCTCAACTCTTTAGTGCTTCTGAGGCAATTCCTCAGCCTTTGGGATGGGTTGTGGCATGAAGAGCTCCTCATCTTGATGTAGAAGGTCATACTGAGACACCTCACCATCCAAAATCTGCTAGGGATTGGTCTAGGCATCCTGGTTTGTCCACCTGGATCCTCTCAGGTGTAAGCTGAGGTCTGTGAAAGCTGTTTAGCTACAGCTTTAAATTTAAATTGTTCTGGTTTGGGTTGGGGTAGAACTTTAAGTGGTTAGAATGGGACTATGTTTTGGGTTTGTGCTGAGCAAAGGATTGATAATATGGTGACATAATTATCAAGGTTGGAGGAGACATCTAAGATCAAGTCCTACCATTAACCTGCCACATATATAAAATCATTTAGGTGTGAAAAGACCTCCAAGATCATCAAGTCCAACCTTTGTACATCATGAACTAGACCAGAGCACTAAGTGCCCCATCCAGTCCTTCCTTGAACACCTCCACAGATGGTGTCTCCACCAATCTCTCTTTGTCTGTCTCTCTTTTTCACACTTACATTCCAGAGTCTCTCTCTCTCTCTCTCTCTGTCTATATATATATATATTTATATTTGGATATTTGGTGCTTATTTTTTTATGAAAAACCTCCTGCTTTTCCCATTATGGCAACTTGGGAAACATGAATTGCTCAAAAACATTTGCTTAATGCCTTGTTGGCTTTGTATGCAGCAACATCATTCTTCCCATGATGTTTAAAAACATAAATGAATCAGTTCAACTGGGCAAATATCTAATTAACTCTGGAATCAACTTTCTTTATGAGGAGGCTCATAAAGCATTAATACACCTCTAAATGATTACTCTGAGTTGTTCCTACACTGTGTTAGGAAGGAACAGCAGATTCCTTGAAGCTTTGAGAGAGAAATCCAAGTTCTCTGCTGTCCTGTGGCTGTGGTACAGGGCAGGAACTGCCTAGTGTTGCATGTTAGTGGAAAAAGCTTTCTAATGGTTTTGCTATGGGTTTACAGCAATGTGTAATTAATTCCAGTGCCTCTGTGGATTTGATTAAAATGGCTCTGCCAGGATTGTTGTGAGGCACTACCTGAACGTGGAACACACAAGAATTCAATCAGAGCATGTTGAGGGGTTGGAATGGAGCTTAAAGATGTAATGCCAACCCCCTGCACTGGGCAGGGGCACCTCCCACCAGAACAGGTTGCTCAAGGCTTTATCCAACCTGTCTCTGAGCACTGCCAGGGTTGGGACATGCTTAATTCCACCTGATTTGGCTCTCTATAATCACTTTAATCTGGACATGCTTCTCTTCCTATCACACAGACTGCCGCTTGGCAGAAGTGCTTCAACATCATGACTTGAGCCCAGATCTTTGTTTAAAGCTTGTTTTTAGCACCTTTGTGGTGCTGAAAGCCATGGCGATTCCTGATTCTTGTCATTTTCATCATAGAATCATACTCATAGAATTTTAAGGGTTGGATCGGACCCTAGAGATCATGTAGTCCTGACTCCCTGCCCTGGGCAAGGGACATCTTCCACCAGAACAGGTTGCTCAAGGCTTTAGCCAACCTGGCTTTGAACACTGCCAGGCTTGGGGCAGCCACAGCCTCCCTGGGCAACCTGTGCCAGTGTCTCACCAGGAAACAATCATAGACTCATAGAATCATCAAGACCTCTAAGATCATCATGCGCAACCATTAACTTGTTACTGCTGGAACCCCTAAACCCTATCCTCCAGTGCCACATCCAGACACCTCTTAAACACCTCCAGGGATGGTGACTCCACCACCTCCTTGGGCAATATTCAATTGCCTCAACACCCTCACAGGGAAAACATTTCTCCTCACATCTCCTCTGACTCTGCCCTGTCTCAGCTCAAGGCCATTCTCTCTAATTTACTTGTGAATTCACACCACAAGTCCCAGTTCATCATGTGAGCATTAACTGGTGTCTCCAGGCCATGCTGTCAAGTGTGCTGTTCTCACAGGGAGATGTTGGGATCCTGCAAGGACAGAGTCAGTGTCAATTTCAGCATACTTATATACTGCAATATTTCAGTTTATATGGAGCTTTCAGTGATTTTTCAGCCTATGAAACCAATGGTCTGTGTTATCTACTGATAGTCTGGTTATCTACTGCAATGGGTGTGATTTTACCAACATAATAACTTTCAATCTGACAAGTTTGTTATCATTCTGCTGGTTTAAAGTCGCTGAGCAGGAAGGGTTGTGCCTCTTGGGCAAAAGGAAGGGATGACAGGGTGTCACAGGTCTGAGGATTTGACGGAGATAAGTTAGGGCCTGGAGAAGGTGGTTTGGAGACCTCAGAGCAACCTGCCTGGATCTGAAGGGGCTCCAGGAATGCTGCAGAGGGTCTCTGTGTTAGGAACTGTGATGTTAGGATAAGGGGCAATAGGTTCAAACTGGCAGAGGGGAAATGTAGGTTAGACATTTGGAAGAAATTCCTCCCTGTGAGGGTGATGAGGCACTGGCACAGTTTGCCCAGAGAAGCTGTAGCTGCCTCATCCCTGGTAATGTTCGAGGCCAGGTTCGATGAGGCTTAGAGCAACGTGGGCTACTGGTAGGTGTCCCTGTCCATGGCAGGGGGTTGGAATGAGATGATGTTTAAGGTTGATTAGAGCCAAAGGTGCTCCTTGAACATGGAGGCCAGGTTCGATGAGGCTTAGAGCAACGTGGGCTACTGGTAGGTGTCCCTGTCCATGGCAGGGGGTTGGAATGAGATGATGTTTAAGGTTGATTAGAGCCAAAGGTGCTCCTTGAACATGGATTTTAAGGGAATTGCAGCTTAAAGCCCTTTTGTGCTGAGAAACTTTATAAACAAGTGCTGATGATTGTGTGCAGGGGATGTCCAGCCCTTCCACCCCCATGCTGTCCTGGGGAAAGAAACCACACTAGAAGGTACTTACCTTCCCCTACCTCAAGGAGGCTAACAAGAAACAAGGAGAGAGGCTCTTGACAAGGGCTTGGAGTGCCAGGACAAGGGGGAATGGATCCAAACTGAGAGGAGGTTTAGGCTGGGTATTGGGAAGGAATTCTTCCTTGCGAGGTTGCTGAGACACTGGCAGAGGTTACCCACAGCAGCTGTGGCTGTTCTATCCCTGGGAGTGTTCCAGACTAGGATGGGGCTTGGAGTAGCCCGGGCTGGTGGAAATCAGTTCATACTGACATGATCACCCACTCTGCAAGTAGAAAAGGAGATGAGAGAGCATAAACCTCCTCAGTTATGTCCATGTGACACAGGGAGGAGAGGGAACATGGAAGGAACAGTTAAGTCATGGTCACTACATATAGTAATGTTTTACTATATTAAAAGAAGCAACAACTTTCTAGGAACTCTCTGGTTGCCTGAAAAAACAGAAATCTCTATAGCCATGAAGGACAGAAATCTGCTAGGTTGGTTCCACTAGCATCTGGCAAAGTTTGATGCCCTGTGGTGCTTAACACTTCAGAGATACTTATTTAACATGGAAAACATCATAGATTGTGATTCTGCTCCTAACATTCTGCTTTTTGCCCCTTTTAAGGCATTTCTCACACAGTTCCACTCTGTTTTGCCTCACAGATCCTCAGTTTGTGGTGTACCAGCTAAAGGTAAAGATATTCACCTCCCCTTCAGGACCCTCCAGACGTGAAGACAAGTATATGTACTTTGAATTCCCTCAGCCTTTGCCTGTGTGTGGTGATATCAAAGTGGAATTCTTCCACAAACAGAACAAGATGTTGAAAAAGGTTAGTTGTTTTGCTTTTTCTACCACAAAATGAGAGCTGGAAGAGTTGGATGTAAGTGATCCTGGCTATGGATTGCAGGAGTTTGCGTAGTAGTGAGTAATCTAATTGAGGAAGAAACACTCTCCTTCTAAAAATAGACTGAGCAAGTTAACTCCAGCTGTTTTCCTCACTGAATTTTCCTAAGGTTTGAGCAGGCACAGGAGATGCTGTGTGTGCTCTTGGCTGGTTCCTCCCCAGCTGTCAAACTGAGTTGGATAGCTGAGATAATTGAGTTCCTACGCACTCTGCAAAAGTATCTCTGCAATCTCTTCCACCACCTCTCTCTTCCTAACTGCAGTGCCTTGGCATAAGAGAATTCACTCACAGCTCAGGATTTTATCAGTGCCTCTGATGTGGGGGAAAATGAACCTAGAACTTTGAAACCTAAGTCAGTGAGTTCCTAAAGCCTCAGCATTGAGGTGTATTAATTCTGATGCTTGTGGAGCTTGTTTGCATCTCCCAGAGGGAAAGGAGAGTGTGAGAGTGTGTTGATTAAAGGTTATCTTTGTATTTGCTGCTTAAAATTCTATAGTTGCTCCATGTTTAATGGAGGTTGTAAAGCTTAAGAGCATTCAATGAGGGAATTCTGTGTAGACTAAAAGGCAACACTAGAGTGGGTTGGGAGACATATAATTCTCTTATGACTGTGCACACAGGTTATATGTACTAGCCATGTGTGAATATACACTATTTTGTGGGCTTGTTTAGGTTCCAGATGGTGTTAACAAGTTTAATCTATGCACTGTCTGTAAAAGTCTCTAACCAGTTTCTTAGTGTGACTGTTTTCTTTCTCTATATGTTTAATGAGGTGTTTTAGGTGATCAGTTCAGCTATGTGCAATGCAGAGACTAAACAGCATCTTAAACAGCATTTTAAAGAGCATTTTCAAAGTAGAAATTCTACTTTAAAGGTAGTATTCAGGCGACTGGTGTTTGAAACAGCAATACACAGCAGCCAGGCTAGTTTGGAGAAGAGGCTTTTAAAGGAGCATCCGGATGAGTCCCAGGAGCTAGACATGAGGGTTACAGGGAGGAGGTGATGCAAAACCCAAATATCTGAGGCAAAGTCCTGTTTTATCTGCTCTATGTCCCATCCAGGCTCTGGATTTGCTGGGTTTTGCCATCTTCAGTGCCACATGGATTGCAATAGACATTATACTGCCCTGCCCACCCTGAAATCTCATGAGAGTTCAGACTAGCCCCAGGAACCACCTCCTGTACCTCGTTTCACCTCTGTACCAGTGACAGCATAAGCTAGAAGCTCCTCCTGAGCACACACAGCCTCTGCAGTGTAAATTGAGTGTTCAGGAGTGTGTAAACCTGTCTGCAGATGTGTTGCTGTGCTGGAGTTTCATTTCAGAGTGTCAGTTCAGTTGTGGTTTCAGTTCTGAAGAATCTTTGTAGTTTGAGTAGCTGCTTGATGTTTTTTCTCTTTCATTTTTGTCTATTCTTATCAAGTACCTTAACTGTGGATTACAGAGAGTGCAGAGATGTTCCTTTTCTCTCCATTTTTGCCCTGTTAGGGCCAAGAAATGGTGAAAGCTCTTCTGCAAGATTTTCTGAGGGTAGAAACTGCCCCTTCACCAGACAGTAAGGAAACCACCTTGATAATCTGCCTCAGTCTGTTGAATCTGGTGTCTAATTGCTCTCAAGTTTCTGTACCAGGAGGCCAGAAGAGGTGTAAGTTGTTGCCCAGTTCTGGTAAGAACATCTCTGCTAGCTCTGTTGTAAACATAGGCAGGGGCAGATCCTTCCATAATGTCCTCTGACAGTTTTTTTAATCAAGTGAATGAGGTGAGAACAGGTCCAAGGCGAATACTGGTGACAGAAGAACCTACCTTGGCACAAAGTTGAACACAACTCTGTCCGAGTGTTTCTCATCTCTGCCTGTTCCTTTTCTAGACCAATTGTCTGTGTAGCTTTTACTCAGCACCCCCAAAGTGCAGGTCTTCCACTTGTATTTTAAGGATCACCTCTAGGCAGTGATCACCTAATTAACGGGGAGCAGCACAGTTAGGAGTAACAGGATCTTATCCTTCAGAGATTGATTTATTTATTAAGCAGGGTTGTGAAAGGAGGAATTACAAGTGTGTTGCCTGTCACTGGTTCTTGTTCTTTCAAGGATTTCTCTTAGCAAATTCATAGGTAGTGAAACAAGTCTTAGAGACATCACATACCTACCACCCTATGTTTTAACTTAAGGTAATTAAAAGCAAATAGCATCAATTTGAAGTGTAATTCCCGAGCCACTGTGGTCCTCAGGCTGGAGAATGGCTGTGTCTCACCTCTGGAGATAAAGAAATCTTCTGTGTCCTCTTGCTGGGTCTGGTTTGGTGTTTGCTACCACTGGAGCATCCCAGATTCCCTCATCTGGACTTGCTTCCAAACCCTCTGATAAACAGCAGCATGATCTGCAGTAGGGAAGCTTGTCCTCAGTTTTGTTCAGCCTCTTTCTGGATGAAATTCTTGTGCATAAACTAGACAAAACTGGAGTGACCAAGTGCCTTTAAGCCCTTAGTGTTGCAGAGTCAGTGTGAAGCTGAAAGCAGCCACATGTCCTGCCTTTAATGGCACAAGTGAATTGAAGCCAGTTCAGTGGCTATTGAGAGCTGACCTCAGCCAAAGGTGCCACTGAGATGTTGCTAAGAGGGTGATTGCCTTGGAAAAGTTCCCCTGTTCCAGCTTGTGCATGATCTGGTATCAGTTAGGAAGTCCTTTTGGTCCTTTCTTGTCTAATCAAGTTGTTTACTTTCTTCTCAGACCGTTTCTTCTCCCTCCTTGAAAACAAGCAACACATGAGGACAAAATGCTTGAGGCTCCAGTGCAGTTATTAGCTATGAATTTCTGATGGATAGAAGTTAGTCATTTGGGGTTGGGTTTTTCAGCATGGCTTTTTGTTGCTCTGCCTTGTAGCTTGACTGTATAACAGATTGCTGCCATGGTCTCTCTAGTTTTGCTTCCATGTGTCTATGCAAAGCCTTTTTCTTCCACTTGTTGATGTTGACATGGTAATCTCTAAGTATTTGAGAGTATCCTCAGATCACTGAGTTCTGTGAGACTCTGCTTAAAAATAATGCACAAGATCTCCTCATCCTCCTGCCTGCAGCGCCTGGGGGGGAAGGAGACCTTTTGCAGGAGTCCTCCCTGTAGAGATGAGAGGAAAATGTTGACGTGGCTTTAATTTGTGAGAGTCGGTAGTGGTTTCTACCCAGGCTCTAGTGTAGGCAGAGCTGACAGCATTGTTGGAGCAGTTGCATTTCATCTCTTGAGTCTAGAGAAATTCTGCTCCCTAGTTCCAGAAGACTTTGTGCCATTGCTCTTAGGAAACACTGAAGAATCAACTCTGAAAATGTCACAAAACTTTTAACTGTGGATCTGAAAGTGGTCCAAGAAGTTTCATCAGCCATGACTAAGCGAAGGCTGAGGCCAGAATAGAACAGGTTGAAACATGATCTCCACCTCTTGGGCAGCCTCTCCATCCCTCTTTGGGCAGCCTCTCTCAGCTCCTTAGCTGGTGCTGCAAAGTGATTGTAAGTGCCAGTAGATCTCTCAGGAGGATATAGGAACTCCTGATGGCTTCAGTGATGTTGGATTTGGATCTCAGTCTGTAGTTAGAGGCAGTTCCAGCTCTAGAGTGAACAGTGTTTCTGTCAGTCTGAGAACTGAGAAGCTGCAGGAGATAGGAAGAAGTAGTTTGTCAGAATGGTGGGATTCAATCAGCTTCTGCCTCAAGTGTCTGATGCTGCTCTCAGATTTTATGGTACAGATTTGATTCTGGGCACAAATAGATCTGTGATTGATTGTTTTGAAGGCAGATGTCTGATGGAACTGCAAGTAAAGCAAAACACAGGAAGAGGAGGGTGTGAAGTAGTTTGGGCCTGGCCAAGAACCTGCTGGCTGACTGCTGCCTCACCTGGATGGGCTTCTTCATGGATGCCATGGCTTGAAGGGACTTGGTGACAGTGACAAACATCTGTTAGACTCCCAAAACAACTGTAATTACAGCATGTTCATTTGGTAGATCAGCTTTGATTCCCAGAGGTGCAGCAGAGGAGAAGTGGCTAACTTCTGGCTGAATGATTTCACTTGTGTCTTTGTTGTTGCCCCTCCTTACAGGCTGGAGAGCTCTTAGGTGCTTCCACACGTGCAGACAAGCTGCAAGTGGGTTTGTAGGCTTTACCTAAACCACTGAACATGGCTCTGCTGACCTTGGGGAAAGAAGATAGGTAGAAGTTGCTTCATCAGCCACTTCTGAACTCCCAATGTTTGTGTACTTAGTAACTTGGGAGGGAGACGAATGTGAGTTAAGGAGTTGTCCAGCTCTTCCCTTCCACCTCTGACTTCCCCCTGCTTGCTTATCAGTAGAGATGAATATCCAGGAAGATGGAACAGGGCCTGGATTTTCCAATAAGAAACTGGAATTCCATCTTCCCTGGTCAACGAAGATACGTAAATGAGCTCAGGAGGAGTGAGTTTTCGTTCTGGTGCTCTGTAATACCAAGGAATGTTGGGTTCTGGAATGGACTGGCTGTGTCACCCCAACAGCTTGGACAGGAGTGCAGCAATACTGACCACTGGGGAAAGGTTGGCCATTTGCATGTTGGATCTTTGGCCTGAAAACTCAAATCAGTGTCAAGGAGATTTCAGAAGTAAATGTAGCTCGGTTTCAGCTAGAGGAGTACTTAAGGTGCTAGTCAGGACCAACCTGCCAACCATAGCTGATCTTGGAAGCATCAGCTCTTGACTGAGAGAAGTACAGCAAGACATGGAGAGCTGAACCAAGAGCATTCAGTGCATCCATCAGAGCTATTGAGCTGAGAGCTGAAAGGTGAAGTTCCTGGGCACATCACCTTCAGGGATCATCTAGCCAAGAGCAAAAACTCATGGAGAGAAACATACCTGCCAGTCATAGTGAGAAGCCTGTGAGCTACTGGCCAATATCAGCTAGTTCTCCAGAACTTTTTTACCCCCCTGATACACTGATGTTTTGCCTCTTTATACCTGTGGCAGTGTTAGAGTGGATAATCTCCTGTTGAGTGGAAGGACAGCAGAACTGAGTATGACTTCCTCTTAGCACTGGTCAGCAAACATCTGACTGGTAGAAACCAGCTTAGTGAAGCAGTAATGAATCCACTCCTCTGAGTCCTGGATTTGTAGGGTCAATTCTGCTCGATTACAGCTCAATCACAGCTATTTTTGTAGGAGAACCAAGAAGAACTTTATGTTATGGAGGAGATTGTTCTCTCCTGATGAATATTACTCATCTAAGCTGGTTTGCACAGGTTGTCTGTTGGGTTTGGAGGCTGCTTGGAGCAAAGAAAACCTGTTTATGCCTTGTGATTGCAAGTTTAAGACTTGTTTAATTTCCTGTCATCTGCTTTTCTTGTAGGTATGATAGTTTAAACCCAACTTTGGATAAGGAGTGACTTCTGCAAGCTTTAATTGCTTAAAACTGAGCTTGATGAATGCAGAGTTGTGTGTATTGCCTAGGAGATGTGGTGAAAATGTCTTTGCATGCAGTGTAACCAAGGATGAACCATTGTCCAGCCAAGTTGTGTCTGATCTCACTGATTTGGTATCAATATTAGCCTAATGAATGTGCTGCTAGTGATTACTAAATCAAGCTTGGCTTTTGTGTTCTTCCTCCCCCAGGACAAAATGTTTCATTTTTGGGTAAACACATTCTTCATAGGACTGGATGAGAATTCAGACAAAGTAGAGAATGGAAGTCTAGTGGCAGATCAGGAACTGGATGGGATTTTCAGCACCGAGCGCTCAGATAACGATAAGGAGTATTTAATCCTTACCTTAACAAAAAACGACCTAGACAAAGCAAATAAAGACAAAGCCAACAGATATTTCTCTCCAAACTTCAAGGTCAGTATATATTGTGCGTCAACAAAGCTTGCAAAGCTGCATGATGTTGTCTGGTTTGTCTTGTCTTGCTTTCTGGAGGGACCATGCTGTGTGGAAACTGAGGTCCTGTGTTGGTGTTGCAACCGCTTAGTGAAGCTTCTTGCTTTGAAAGTTTATCTTTAGGTTTGTCTGCTCTTTTGGGAGTTAATAGATGTGAAAAAACTGGGATTGAAGTCTTCAGGTGGTTGCAGGTGTTTATCAAAGCCATTAGAGATGATTAGTAGGAGAATCAGTGACCCAGGTAGCATCTCCTCTGTGCCACCTACATTGCCATGAGCTCTAAGCTTGACACTAATTCCTCGGTGGATTTGCCCCCTTTCTGGGAAGCAAAGGGCCATAAAGATGATGAGAGTCTAGAGCATCTCTCTGCTGATGAGGAGAGGCTGCAGGAGCTGGGCCTGTTCAGTCTAGGGAAGAGAAGGCTGAAGGGGATCTCATCAGTCCATACAGTATCTCTGAGGGATGTCAAGATGGTGCCAGACACTTTCCAGTGGTGTCCAGAGATGACAAGGAGCAATGGCCATAAACTAAACCACAAGAAGTTCTACCTCCACGTGAGGAAGAACTTTCCATGGAGGGTGGCAGAGCACTGAAGCCCAGGGCGTTCATGGAGTCTCCCTCTCTGGAGACATTCCAAATCCTTGTGTCCCTCTAGGTGACCCTGTCTGGGCAGGGAGTTGGACTAGATCGTCTCCAGAGGTCACTTCTGACCCCAGATTCCATGATTCTGGGAGTTTAGCTTGGAGGAATTCCCTCCCCAGGGCAGAGGGTTGGGACTAGATGACCTCTAAGGTCCATTCCAATCCCATAGCACACTCTGAAACTATGAATACAAGCCCTGCCAGCACTGATTTACAAATGGAAAAGACTTTTGTAACAATTTGAGCATAAAATGTCACAAAATACCATGAACTATCAGCCAGGCCCCAGCAGTGCTGGTTTGAAGGTCATGGCCATAGTTGCTTGTTGGGATGTTGCTTGGATGAGACTTTTGACACCCAAGACACCTATTAGAGTGTGGTTTGTCCATTCCTGTGCACCCTTACTAGAGTCTCTTTGTGCTCACAGAGCTGTGGAAGGTAGGAGGGTTTAGAAGCTTAGCGTGGCCTGTTCTGGCCTACCATGGTGTGTCCTGCTGCTACAGCTCAGGAGTGACTGGTGCAGACAGACACAACTCCTTCCTGGGCTGGAAAACCCTGCTGTTTGCCAGCTCTTTCTGTTGTTGGGGGTGGGAGCAAAGTCTGGCGAACCTCTCTGAACTTCTTTCTCTGCAGCAGGGATAGTGGTGGAGTCACCAGCCCTGGTGTTTGAGACATCTGGATGTGGCACTGGACGATATAATTTAGGGTTTAAGGGTTACAGTGAAGTGACAGGTTAATTGTTGGACTTGTTGACCTCAGAGGTCTCCTCCAACCTTGATGATTCTATGATTCTAAGATATGGTTTAAGGGTTGCAGTGACAGGTTAGTGGTTGGACTTGATCATAGATGTCTTCTCATATGAGAGAAGAACACTGATGTGCCTTCACAATTGCTTTGTTGCCTGTGCTCAGCTCAAGTTCAGTGTCCCTTATTAAATGTTGTTTTTTCCTTCCCCAGGTGAAGCTCTTTTTCACCAAAACAGTAGAAGAGCCATCAAACCCAGAGGCTAGCAGTTCAACTTCTGTAACCCCAGATGTTAGTGACAATGAACCTGATCATTATAGATACTCTGACACCACTGACTCTGACCCAGAGAATGAACCTTTTGATGAAGATCAGCACACACAGATTACAAAAGTCTGAATATTTTTTTTAGCAGAGAGAAAAGAAACCACACACAAAACACAACAAAACCAACCATGAAGAGAGACAAACTTGAATAAACTGATTACAAAAAGGACCTTTTTAATGGCAAAAAGGACAGTGTCAGCTTATAGGAACAATTCTTTCCTGACCAATCTTGTTTTGCCCTCTGAACCTCTCCAGGGTTTGACACTTGTCCAGTTGGGGGGGGAAAAAGAAAGGTTACGTAGCTCTTATATGTATATACCTTTTTGTGTCAAAAGGACATTAAAACTTCAATTAGGAACTATAAAACATGGCACTTTTCCCATTTTCTTCCAGTTTTATAAAGTGGAGACAGACCTAATGTGTATCTGTAGGAATTTTGCCTTTTGTGTTCTGTCACCAAGTTTCAAAGCAGAGAAAAAAAACAAACCAAACCAACCAAAACCCCAAATCTTACAGGTTCACATCCTGCCCCTGGTTTATTTTTTTTTTTTTTTGCACTTGTGTGGCAACAGCAAAGTCTGCAGTTGGCTAAGAGATGTTTCTAGAAGGTTTTGACTCTGTTATTGATGCTTGGCTTGGGGCTGGGGGTGGAAATAGATGCTGAGCAAGGAGCGTGGGCTCTGTGTGTCCATGAGCCTTTCCTTAGCATCCTGCCCTGATCCAGCTGGGCCAGTGGAAGAGTCACCTCTGTCACTGCTTGTTGTTTGTGCATTTTCATTTCTTTTCAGTGTAATGGTGCTAGAAAAGGCAGCTAGAGGGAGAGATTCTGTCTTAGGGGGACAGGAGTGAACCTTCAGCACATCCTCGAGACCCACAGAAAAAATGAAGGGAGACAAATTCTTGGGCTCACAAAGCAAAAAGGAAACACAGCAACAATGACTTAACCATACAAATGTGGAGGCTACCAACTCAAACAGGAGCTTGAAACAAATGCTTATCCAATTTGACAATGATTGGTTGGGGTTTTTATTTTAATTTTTTTGCTGGAATGGCTGCTCCATCTCCTGTGTCATCAAGGCCAGTGCTCAAAGTCAGATGCTCTTAGTGCATACAGCAACATCTTACAG